TCTAACTCATGTTCAACCGTCATGTAAGTGATATTTGGAAATTTATGTTCAAAGACCCAACCATATTTTTTACATTTGATTACATGGGGAGAAGTATAATTTGATGTAATTAGTTAACAAAATGGGAAAAAAATTATATTTGTATACATTTTCATGAGGAGGCTAATATATATTTTCAATTAAGTGAATTTGTATCTTAATTTTCGATTTAACCAATATAATTTGTTTATTATTTCATTATTCTCAAGTTTGTATCTAAGCTTTTGAATTTCAGGTATGGTTCATACTATTAGAGCTTCCTTAATCTTGGCTCTAATCTTATCACACCTCTCGTAGTTTCGGGTGCGTTTAGTTTATTATTTTGGATAGGATTTTAGGAATAATTTGGGTGGTTGGATAGGGGAGTATTACGAGGTAAAATCTAAAAATTTATAAAAAAAAACCCTAAGGTTTACTAATTTAATTAAACACCCCAGTATGTAAAATGACAAAAACACCCCCACCACCTACAATGCCAGATTCCGGCCACCACTGTCGAAATCTGGCCGAAAAATTACGTACCAGTCAGATCTGTGTTGTAACGCGTCATTATGGCCTTTTCCGGCCAAATCCACCATGGATCTGGTCGGAAAAGGCCAGATCTACGACCAAATGTGGCCGTCGACGGCCGCAAAAGCCCATCTTTGGCCGTCAGCAATGGCCAAAGATATGGCTGTCGTTTTCAGTCAACGATGGCCAAGTTTTGGCCGTCGTTGATATTTGGCTGTCGCTAACGGCCAGATCTGGCCTGAAAATGCTAGATCGGTAAATAACTGACCAGTTCCGGGCTTGGTTGAAGCCGTTGTGACAGATTCTGGCTACCACCGACTGTGGTTGCCGGAATCTGGCAAGTATGGTGGGTGTTGGTGTTTTTGCTAATTTTTAAACTTTTTTTCTGGGGGTATTTAGTGAAATTAATAAACTTAAGGGGTCTAAAAGTAATTATAAAAATACACTAATATTTCTGGAATAATATGCCAAACAATATTTGGAGAATAAGATTGGGAATATGGGTAGAAATACTGAACCAAACACACCCTTCAATATTATCCCTCACCCCCTTTGATTGTTGATGATTTTGAAATTAAAGAACATATTTGAGATTGATGAGGTAAAGTATAGGGAAGTTCAACTTGTATAATTAATTAACCTTCTTCTTTTTAATATTGTGATTTTCTTATTTATCCCATATATTTAATAAGCAATAAGTTACATTTTTCTAGTTTTCACTTATGAAAGGTTGGTGTTGATGGAGCCAACTTTCTTCTTTTGGGCTACTCAGTCCTCTACTTTTCAATGCCATCTTTAGCAAACTCAGTTAATCTATTCCTTCTGGCCCCCATTGTATATAAATATATATCTGACTGCTAAAGAGGAAGAAGAGGATGGCATAAATGTTTGAAAAATTATTGGGTAGCAACCATGGGCGGTAGTAGGTGGCGAGTGGGGGCTGCTGACCCCACTTAAAAAAATCATTAATTATATATACTTAATTTTTATGTGCTGATCGGGTAGTCTTTGTGCTTATATTTTCATATTTGACCTCACTCACTCACCTTTATATATATATATTATTTACAACCTTAGTGATTTAATTTTCTTAGAATTATTATTAAATTACTTAATTTTACCGTTTGGTGTTGCGCGAACATATTTTCTCAAGTGGTTTTACAGATCATAAGTAACTGACGTTCAAATTATAGATTTAGACTAAAGAAAATAAATATATATTCAAAATACTGACAATACCACCAATTTTATTAAATAATTTAAATCATATCTTATATTTATATATTAAATATGTCAAGTGTTAAGGTGCCGAATAATCAAATAGTTGAATGGGAGATCAGATCACATAATTCTTTTGCAGGTTGACATCTTGTTGGGCAATACCATATCACATGCACGTTTCATTATCTTCTTTTTCCACTCTGATTGGAACTAAGATTTATATTTATTTTTATTATAAAATATGATTTAAATCCGTGAGTTGTCATGTTACCATCAAGAAACGTGTCCGGTTGAAGTTTAGTTGGATCAAGAAGACAGACAAAGTTTACGGCAACAGCCAGTAAGAATTTCCCATCAATTATTACTAAATATTACAAATCAAATCAAATGTTTTTTATAATAAAAAGAATATTGAATATCTCAATTATTTGGGGAAGCACATGCAGCAACTATTTTTCCCATGTGAATTTCTGGGCACAATATCTAAATCATATCATATAATACATATCGGTGGCGCAACACAAACCGTTGAACGTGTCAATCCCGTAGAGCTATTAATTGTTTTTGTTTTGGCTTGTTCTCCCACCACAACACATGTTAATTGTCTTTTTTATTGAGTATGTTTTGTTCGTAAATGTCACATGTTTTTTTAATCGATCTATGCTTTTGAGATTGTGTCTTCAACAACTAAATAAATAATTACTCTGGATATTTAATTATTATTTTCAACCATTGGATCAAGATAAGTCTTAACCTATATGATTGGGTTTATATAATGATGGAAAGAACTTATTTATAGTTATAAGCATTTTTGAATGTTTTTTAAGTTGGTTTAATAAACTCTTCTTTTATACGTTCTATTTGAGTAAATTATACTACACATAATATTACTACATAAAAGTTAATCAAAAGTATTTATATGCACAAATTATACGACCACGGTTAATACAAATCATTGGTGCTATTGTGGATTAACAAGTACTTTTTAGGTCACGTTAATTAAATTATTCACGTGATAGTTATGTTTAGTAAACATGTTATTGGTTTTGAAATTATAGAGAAGGAATATACTCTATATATATGTTGGGATGCGGCAAGGGGGGATTGGCCACATATGCTATGTGTGGCTTCTACTTTCTCCAATCATGAGTCTGTGAGCTCCTCTAATCAGTGAGGTACTTTAATTTCCATGGTCCCAAGTGTCTCCATAATATGGTCCATTGAATTAATTAAGGGCTCAAACAAGAAGTCCTCCATTAAAACTATGTATTGCATGATTGTTGGATTGCTGACCGGTTGCACTGAACAATGAGCACTAAACCAAAAGGTTATATTATTAGATAATATTTAAGTTTAAAAGAATTAAACTAATATTGATATTATACATGTTAAATTATGGGATTGCGGGTTAAGTAACTTCAACTTTTTATTAAATTTTAAAAAATGCATGTACATTGTTTATTTTTATTAATTCAACGATAATATGAAAGAAGTTAAAATGTAATTATATTTAATGTCAACTAATAATCATATCTTATCATCATTAGATCAACAATTATGAACAATTCATATAAAATATCAAAAAATAATGTGTTTATTAACTTTTATACTTTCACTTTTTCAATATTCATTTTTTGTCAAATTAATTTATATATATGCAGAGATTTGTATAGAAAATTTGTTAGTTTAATATTATATACTTAATTTATGAGTGCAAGTAGTTGAGTTGAAGTGTTGCCATAGAAAGACTTACAAGTCAAGTAGGTCTAATGATTCATCAAATTCAAATAGAAAGTTCCGAATTCATCAACTGTATCTATCACTTTATAAAGGGCAGTCCTACTATGGATACCAAGTTCATAATCTCACTATACTTTTGAGAATCGTTGGATTATTGACACTTAAGTTATATATATATATATATCAATCTAACACATCCTTTTGGTAACTTAAAAGTTATAATTTATTATTATTATTATTATTATTTGGTAATCGAGATGTTTAGATTAATTTACGCATTTTTCAATTAATCTTTAAAATTCATTGAACGCTCTATAAGTCTAAACGATCAGATTAACCACAACGTGATAGGTGGATCTAAAGTTTGAAGTCAAGAACTCAATAAAGAAAACAAACATTCTTGACCGTCAGGACAACCTCTTAGAGTTTTAAAATTATAATTTACTCATCTTTAAATTGTCATTTCCCTTACACAAAGATTGCTTATCACCCTTATTATCTTTACGCATGCATTTCAATCTTTTTTTCCTCATTTTGTTATCTTATTAAGAAATTGAAGTAAAATTAATTTGCAAAGGCGATGTTGATATCATAACACGACAACATTAATACTAAATGAATTATATTATAAGGCCCAATAAGCAAGCACCAGTTGGTAGGTATTTTATTTAAGCTCTTACTATGACTTGTACGTTAGATTCTGATTCTCCACTAAATTTCCCTTACCCATGTGCCTCTCTTAATTAATGCCTGATAACTTTAAACCTCGAGGTTTGATCGAACATGAAAATCCCCTCAAGTACCAAGAATTATGCAATACCCCTTATCGTTTGTCAGTTTCATTAGTTTCAACAATTTTAATTTTTAAGTTTTTAGTTCTTTATTAATTATTTACTTATTTTTTAAATTGTTATGACCATTTTGCCCTTCTGATGTGTAAAGTAACGGAAAATTTCTGACATATAACAGAGGGTTTTTGCGTAATTCCTAGTATCTGAGGGGGTTTAAATGTTTGACCAAACCTCAAGGGATTTAAAATAATGCCTAATTAATATTAAGAAAGTTCAATTCTTTTACCTTTTTATCCTAAAAATATTATAATTTTCTCTTTAAAATTACAATTAATAAAAAATATCTTTAAATTTGTATATATATATATACAGAAATTATTAAATGATAAAATAAACTAATTAGTTAAACCTAACCATGAGACACCAATAAAACTAGGCTTATTATCAACAAAATGTCAAAATGTCTAAAAAGATTATCAGATTGATCTAACTCCCATTGAGTTGTCAAAAAGATAAATCGAATTAAATAATAGGAAAACAGGGTGGTATTCCTTTTTATCCCATTATATTTTTCAAAAATTATATTTACGAAAAGACCAGTCCTACTCCTAACTAACTTCCCAGCATCCTCCAATTGACTGTTGAACTCCACCAACCATAACTCTCTTGTATGAAAAAACCCTATAAAACCCCACCAACACTCCTCTCTTCCTCCTCAATAGAGCCTCACCATCTCCCTCCACCTACTCTCTCTGCAAACAGAGAGACAACAACACTAAATCAAAAAACTAAACTTTACTTTCTTTAAGCAATGGCTCTTTCACAAACAACTCTCTCTTCCAAGTCTCTCTACGCCAATGCTCACTCTCTGTCACCCAAGCCCCACCAACCTTCTTTCTCTCTTCTTCCCTCCAACTCCAAGCCCAAGTCTTTGCAGCCAATCACAGCCGTCCATGCGGCGGAACCAACCAACAACAAGGTTGCTGTGAAAGAATCAGCACCTGCCGCCGTTCCGGGGTCTGGGAAATGGACAGTGGAAAGCTGGAAGAACAAGAAGGCATTGCAGCTTCCGGAGTACCCGAGTAAGGAGGAATTGGAGGCTGTTTTGAATACTTTGGAAGCTTTTCCTCCCCTTGTTTTTGCTGGAGAAGCGAGGAATTTGGAGGAGAAGCTTGGAGAAGCTGCCATGGGAAATGCTTTCTTGCTTCAGGGTGGTGACTGTGCTGAGAGTTTCAAGGAGTTCCATGCCAATAATATTAGAGACACTTTCAGGATCTTGTTGCAGATGGGTGCTGTGCTTATGTTTGGTGGGCAAGTGCCAGTGATTAAGGTTAAATACATTTTCATTAAAATGTTTTATGCATCAGTTTTGATTACTTTATTCAACATTTGTCTGTGAATTGAATGAGATATGATTAGAATTGAATGATTGAAAATGGTATTGGATAATTTTAGGTGGGAAGAATGGCGGGTCAATTCGCAAAGCCAAGATCAGATCCATTCGAGGAGATAAATGGAGTGAAGTTGCCGAGTTACAAGGGAGACAACATAAATGGTGATGCTTTTGATGAGAAATCAAGAATTCCAGATCCTAACAGGATGATTAGAGCTTACTGCCAAGCTGCAGCCACTCTTAACCTTCTTAGATCTTTTGCAACTGGAGGTTATGCTGCAATGCAGAGAGTCACTCAGTGGAATCTTGATTTTGCTGAGCACAGTGAGCAGGGAGACAGGTAATTATTCATAATATGAACTGGTTTATAACCAAAAAAGTTAAGATTCTAAAACAATGTTACTTCAATTATCAAAGAAATTTATAGGATTGTGATTATGATTTCACTTAGAAAGTGAGTTTGTATTGTTTAAAAGTTAAAAATATGAAGCTGCTCATCAGGTACCACGAACTGGCTAACCGCGTAGATGAGGCCTTAGGATTCATGGCTGCGGCAGGGCTGACAGTTGACCATCCTATAATGACATCAACTGATTTTTGGACTTCTCACGAATGCTTGCTTTTGCCTTATGAGCAAGCACTCACCAGAAAAGATTCAACCTCCGGCCTGTATTATGATTGCTCTGCTCACATGCTTTGGGTTGGCGAGCGTACTCGCCAGCTAGATGGTGCTCATGTTGAGTTCCTCAGAGGAATTGCCAATCCACTTGGTATCAAGGTACTTGCAATTCAATATGCTCTTTAACCTATCTGTTCAGGAATAATTGGAAGTATTACTTCAATTGATCAATTTCTAATCACTTTATGTGAAACTTATGTTTCAGGTTAGCAACAAAATGGATCCAAATGAGCTAGTCAAACTCGTCGAAATTCTAAATCCTAACAACAAGGCTGGAAGGATCACAATTATTTGCAGAATGGGAGCTGAAAACATGAGAGTGAAGCTTCCTCATTTGATCAGGGCAGTTCGCCGGTCTGGTCAAATTGTGACCTGGGTTTGTGATCCAATGCACGGAAACACTATTAAGGCACCATGTGGGCTCAAAACACGTCCCTTCGATGCAATCTTGGTATGGTTAATTTCCTCCAAACACCATTTGTTTGCTTGAACATTATATTAAAATATGATGGTGATGGTTAACCTTTTTGTTGGCAGGCTGAGGTTCGAGCCTTCTTCGATGTTCATGAACAAGAAGGGAGCCACCCAGGTGGTGTCCATCTAGAGATGACCGGGCAGAACGTGACAGAGTGCATCGGAGGATCTCGTACGGTGACTTTCGATGATTTGGGCTCACGCTATCACACACATTGTGACCCAAGGCTGAATGCTTCTCAATCTCTTGAGCTTTCCTTTATCATTGCTGAGCGCCTCAGAAAAAGAAGAATCGGAACCCAACGTTTGCTGTCTATGGGAGTTTAAATCACTTCAAATATGTCCAATCTCATGCACTTCGACTTCTTAGTGATTGCCAATCTGTCTTAATATTTGGTAGTGAATAAATGGGTCTCGACCAAACCCTTCTGTTGCAGCTACCCACCACTTATTGTTTGATTAGCAGAGAAATGAATTCAAAAGGCAAAGCAACATGAAATATCCTGCAAAGTTAAGGTGTTGGTGTTGAATTTTATATTTCATTCAGAATATGTATTTGAATTTTTATGTAACTTGAATAAGTGATTGTTTGAAATTTTACAAGAAATAAAGAAAAGCCATTATCATGTCATAAATTTTCAGTTTATTTTCTTTCGATTTATTATTTTGTCAATTCCAGCTGGGAACAAAATATTTTACACGAAGACGAGTGCTACTGCTATATATGTTAAACTGATAAAAGATGATAATTAATCAGCACAGGCCATGCCATGGGGTATTTCAAGCCGCTATCAAGCACTCAATAAAGGCATAAAAATAAGCATAACCTTTTGAAAATTAAGCCAAAATGAAAGAAACGATATAGAGAATCCAAAAACTTTAGGGGACAATGTGTCAAGGAGATTTCAGCAATAAAAAATGAAGAAGAGACTGATATTATATTAAATTAGTGGGGCATGTTTTCTTCCAAAAGTGGCATCTAAATTAGAATTTTTCTATTTGTAATAAATTTATTTATTTATTGTACTTGAAGAATATGAAAACTTTGATGAGAGGGTCGAAAGTTAGTTGGCACATGTTGAATTAGATGGAGTTGGTTGTTTAATAGTTGAACTTCAGATCATTTCATTTCCACCATGTGCCTATCTGAATATCAAAACCATATTTCCATTTCGCATTATGACACACCAACTTCTTGCACTGAAATCAATGACCTTCAACTGCATCTGCAAGAAAGAAACCTTCAAATGTCTTTGTTAAAAATATAACAAAGTTCAGAAAAGCAGAAACCTTCTTCTTCAATGGAACATTGTGTTTCAACATAATCTTTTATCAAGATCTATAGTAACAATTTTTTTCATGTTAAGTTCCCTTTTGTCTTTGTTTTTTGAAACCATAGATTGTGTTTTAAGAGAAAGGGCAGACGTCATGGAGCTTGAATAATTGTCCTCATCATCAGTCTATTCCATCAACCACAACGAGGACCACCAGTCTATTCCATCAACCACAACAACTTTGTGGTTGATGGAATAAAAAATCACTATACACAGAGGGTGGGTCGAATTCAGCAAGTGCATATACTGCTGCGGGGAGCCAATAGATCATTAATCATTTCATTTTTAGGAGGATCAACAAATTAAATTAAGGCACCTTGGTAACGTTTGGGTGACATAAAAAATCAAAATGGATGCTCCATCTTAGTTGTTTTCTTTTTCTTTCTGTATACTAGCTATATATATAATTGTAGTTTAGGACAAGATTATGAATATTATTGCCTAAGCTAAGTCATTTTTTAATATTCTGTCTTGATAACAATATTAGGGTTATGATTTATGCAAGTAAAGATTTAAGAGAAAAACAAAAATATAAAACTAAATGTGAGTGTTTTAAAAATCTATTGTCCTTTATGGTTATTTTATTTGAGGTTCAATATGGTAAAATTGAATATGAAAAAAATAAAATAAAAATGGGGACTATTAATACAAAAGTTTACGAGTTAAAATCACAACCCATTAATAAAAAAACATTATGTATAGCTCATACAACTTGGAATCAATTAATTAATTTATTGATTAAAGAAGTTAATTAAATTGCAAAGGTCTTTAACAAGAAAATTCCATGATCTACGTTTCCCACAATGGCATGCCTGGAACTGATTCATTGTCTAAGCTCCACTAGAAATTCAATAATTTTTATGTTGATAAAGTTGACCATGCATGACATAAATAACAAACGAGTATCTAAAACACAGTACATAAAACTGAAATTCCTGGATGTAACCATCCATAAAATTTAAATATCAATCCTCTTTTAACACAAGCAGAGTCTACTAATAGTAGGGCATGTATCGCATTGGCCTTCTGAACCTAGGAACCTTCCTGCAGCAGGTTTCAGAGATGAAAATGAGGTAAATGAGTCAAAAGGTAAGATGACAATGTTACCGCTAACCAAACAGAACTACCAAGCATTGCTTGAGACATTACCCGTATCCATACGGGGAGTAAAAATACGGAGGTACATATGGCCTCCTACCCCGGAATCCCATGTAAGGATTGAAACGCCTTCCACGATACTGCTTCATCCCAGGAACATTGGTCCTTTTAGGCAAAACCTGGATGTTGCATCAAGCAATCTTTAATGCAATCGTCAAAGCATTTGAAATTTAAAAACTAATTCATGGTTTAAGATTGAAAATTCTTCATTTAGAGCACATCGATGACAAGTTACTTCATTTCTTAGAAGAAATTGAGTTACCTTCAGTTGACGGCCATGTAATTCAGATTCATTCAGTTGTAGAGCCTCTTGAATAGCTTCTAGTTCAAGAAATTCCACATAAGCAAAACCCTTTGGTTGGCCAAACTTGTCCGTCAGAATAGTTACCCTGTTTACAGTACCACAGGACTGGAAATGTTGCTGCACTTCTTCAGGAGTGCATGCATAATCAACCTGCATGCCAAATTCAGTTGAAGACTTTTAGTTGGCAAAAGCAATCAGAGCTCCCAAATTCAGATATTTAAAATTGTAACAGTATCAATTCAAAAGGAACAAAAAATGCAAACAGGCCGATCGATTACACAACAGAAATCTCTGAGTAATAGACAATCCCATTCACTTTCCACAACGATAATCACTTGTATCTTCGTACATGAAGAATGTAGTCCACCAAGTATGATCTCATTTGACTTACAAGCTACCATGCTCGCTCTCTAAATCTTTGTATTTTCATTTTTTACCATTCTCCCTATTTCCCCTCCACTAATCACACACATTTCAGCTCCACAAAGCAAGCTACTTCAACAGCTTTAGGATAATTCTCCAGCAAGGAACAATAACTAAGCAATTCAGCATCCACAAAAACATAAATACAATCATATACTTTATCTTCTGATTTTCAAATTCTTCTGTATTATTTTCACTTAAAAGCAGTCTAAATACAAATAAAATTATTTGCAGAATCAACTATGTACAATCATCTTCAACATAACATCGATGTATGTCCATAATTGATCTTGGAGATAATAGGAACGGCATAATTTGGGAACTGACTGCTTATTTCCACATAGTTCCTTTCGGATAAATGAAAAAGGTTCTTATCAAACAAATTATTGTAAAAATGGAATACAAAAGAGGTGAAATGCCAACCAGAGTAATCTTACAAACTAATATCCAAAGAAAATAATCTGGATTAATAGGAGATACAAAATTGAAAACTTGTGGCCATAGGCTGTGGAATGCAAAGACCAACGATTGATAAAAGTTTTAGAATAGAAATAATCTGGACTAGAAACAAAAAAGAGCAAGTCATGTTCAAGGTACCATCAACAACATACGAATATTCTTCCGGTAAACAAGTGGCAAACAAGTTAAGGCCACAAGGAAGCCAAAAAAGAAAAAGAAGTGAATAAATGCATGCCTCTCACCACATATCGTAAATGACCACAAATTTCAGAGGCTCCAATGAAAAACTCCACCAGCAGCAGCAGGGCTTTTTGACTTAGATTGAATGGCCCAATATGCCTTTCAACTTCAAAGAAAAGAAGTTTTGTCCTCTCGCTGGTTCAAGTTGAAAACTCTTAACTTGCATTTACTTCAATCCACTCCAGCGATCCTTTCAAATGCCTTTTACTAGTGATTCTTTCACTGTAGTGTCACTTCATACACTATTAACCAACATGTTTTTCATTCTTCCCTCATTTCTTTTCTTGTTTCCATTTTTTTTCTTCAACAATTCATTCTTTTGAGTTTTATTTTTCTTGACATCTTTTTTTTTTTTNTCGACCCAAATCGTAGAAACCCAGTAGCCTACTCCATTCAAATCGAAAAAAACCCAGCCAAATCACAAAAACTAACAGCCTCCTCACAAAAATCCAATAGCATAAAGTGAATCACCGCCTCCCCACCCTTTCCCCCATCCAACCATGTCGTTAACCATCACCCCACACCCCATTGCCAGTCCTACTTAGCCATCGTCAATGGCCTTACCCCACCATAGACAATAGCGGCGGTAGCCCTCCATCTAAGCAACGACAGCCCGTACTTCCATCTAAAGGACGGCAACCCCTACTTCCATCTAAGCGATGGCATCCCCCACCTCCATCTTGTCGTTGCATGCCCCCACCACCACTCTATGGCACCCCATACCTTGCCCAACCCATTTCTCTTCCCACCCCATTGCCCATACCTCTCACAGCCTCACAACCGCCCATCCCATTTTCTTCACATTTTTTTTCCTTAAAAGATTTCATGTTTTTGAAATGCTTTAATTGATTTGATTGGCTTTGATTGATGTGTCAGTTAGGAATATGGTGTTGCTTTGGTGGTATGGGTGGGGATTGTATTGATAGTTTGTTGGGGAAGGCTACTGGTTGCTTGCGTTAATTGGTTAGGAGACTTTTTTAATAGCCGAAGTGAAATGAAAGTGCTGCGAAGAATTGAAGAGATAGATGAAGAAATCAACAATGGAAGAGAGAAAAATGCGTTAGGGCTCGACAAAGACCGGAAAAAAAAAAAGGGAAACCACAGAAGAATCATTTTTAAAGCTTGAAAACTAGGTGCAAGCTGGTCTTCCCCTAAAACCGGGTGGCCCAGCTATTGCTACAGTATCCCTGATCCAACCCCAATTGAATCTAGGTGAAATGACTCCCCCGGCCAGGTCCCAATCCAACTGGTCCAACCGGTCGGGCTGGATTTTAAAACAATGGGTTTAATTTTGCGTCAAATTTGTGTACTTGACATATTATTATAAAGTAAACATGTTTATTCCATATTTTCATCCTTAAATTAATAGAAAATTATTTAATATAATAGTTAACTGGTAAAGCATCTGCATTGTATTAAATTTGAAATAAAAATAAGCATTTTAAAATAACGCTCTACATCTCAAATTTCTCTTACAAGCACCCCTGACAAATAAGAAAGTTTGAAATATGTTGATTGCACCCCTATGATAGAAAAATCCAAATCCCCCTCAGCAGCCAAAATCGTCGCAACAGCAATCCTTGCAATCCAACCTAGATCCACCGTGGAGGAGAGGAAAGAGAAAGGGAAAGAGAAAAGAGAAGAGAAAGAGGTGGGGTGTGGCATTGTGCTGAGATGGTGAGGTGACGAGGAGTCGGAAAGTGGGGTAGGGGGCTATTTCTGTCATCGAAAAGTGCTAGAAAACGACTAGGGACAACACCACTAACATGCGCCATCACCTGCTAAAATGTGTTGCAAAGAAGAAGAATGTTAAAAAAAATGTGTTATTGAAATAAATTTGAAAGTAAGATGGTTATTTTTCTAGTTCTATTAATTTGGGGTTAAAAGTAATTTATTAATTTATTTGTCATCGGTAATAGCTAAAGGTTGAGCATGGGTAGAGGATAGACCTGGAACCGGTGAGTACCCAGATCGATGATTCCGGTTCCAAAAAATTGGAATCAGGACTACCCATGTTCGGTTCTAGTTCCAACCCAATAGGAATCGAGGACCCGGCTCGGAACTGGGATCTAGGTACCCCTTAGGAATTGGCTTGGAACCGGAGCTTCAATGGCGTATAATTAAAAAATGTTCGGGGTGTTCTGTAATTTAACATATAAGAAAATTAAAACAAATGTGATTTACAGATTTAGGGATTTAGAGATGGAGGGTTCTTGGCTTCTTGTGTTCTGAAATTTCACGATTTGGGGAAGAACGAACTGTGGTTGTTACGTCCGTCCACTGAAGTCCTTCCGTCCGGCGTCCACTCCAGTCCGTCCGTCCCCAGCCCACTATGGCGCATTCTCTCCTGTACGCAAGACTTGCGGCGCCGATTCACTTTATTCCGGCAAAGGTATGTAATTTGTAATCCAAGATAAGCATAAATTGAAACTGTGTTTTATACCAGTAGCACCTAACCCAAGACATTTCAATTATTTTAGTGGAAATTATGGTCAACTGATTTGTATAAGCTTTGGTTAAGAAGATCAAGTTTATATTTTAAAAAATATAAATCCCACTTCAATTCTTCGAAAAATTGTATAAATTAATTGGTTTGAATGAAAACAGTTTTCAATTAAAAAAAAAAAAAAATCAGATTTAAAATATTTCAGGATTTTTTAAAAGCTGCAAACTGGTTTTAGGCAACTTCACAAATATATATTCTACGCCAGTCCTATATTTTATATCAAGTAAAAACCAGAACCACTCTTAGTGGACTTTTTGTCTGGTATTGTTTTCAACAGAAGGGAAAATTGCAGAATTATGTAATAAGCAATAAGCTGCAGCCAAGATTGAAAGTTCAACCCAATCATTAGCAGACAAAATGGGGTTATTTTTTTTTTATATACACTTATATATGAATTCTTGGAAACATTTAGTATGGTTTATATTACATGCATGTTTAAATAAATTATATATATGCATGTTATTTTTGGTGTTCAGGGATGGTATGGGTGGGTATTGTGTAATGAGTTGATTGTTGAAGTAGAAAAATCCAGCAAATTGGTGGGGCTGGTTTGTTTAATTAGATAATTAGAAATTTAGAAGTGATTTATATTAAATTGAAATGGTGAAGTTTTGCATGGAAAGATTTTAGATGTTGTTAGGAAAGTTTTCTTGACATGGTTTGGTTGAAACCTAAAATATTTGTATTATTGTGGTTAATTGTTAAGTGAGATTTTGCTTAAAAATTGAAAACCTTGCTGTGCTAATGTGTTATGTGGTCGGCTGAAGGTTTTGAGAAGGATTGGACATGAAATTGTTTGCTGGAAATTGCATTAAATATGAATGCTTTCTGCATTGTTTTGTTAGTGTTCGGCTGGAGGTTTTAGGAAGTCATTAGTATGAATTTGTTGTCTGGAAATTTCCATTAAAATTGGTTGGACATTTTGGAGGTTGCTAACATGATATTGACTTTCTTATGTTTATTTTGTAGAAATGATTAGACTTGACGAAGGAATATCCACGGCAAATTTGGAGCATGCATGAGCCATGATGTTTAAATGTTTTATTGATTGTATTTCAGTATCTTGTGTTCTTTTTTTCTTTTTTTTTTCTTTTTTTTCTATAATTGGGATGTCTGAGTCAGCTTACACGTACTTCAATTAATCTCCGAGGTTCATTAAATACCCTACAAGCGCAAAGGACCTGATAAATCATAATGTTATTGCGGTAGATGGCCTAAGGTTTGAACCCAAAAATTCAAGGAAGAGAGTAAACCTCCTTGACTGTCAAGCCAACCCCTTGGAGTTAAACTTCGTGTGTTTATTTTGTTGTTATGTTATTTGAAATGATGAATGTTATTTATAATTTTAAGTTTGGAACAATAGTTGCAGTAGATGTGATTTTTTAAAACAAGTTGCAAGGTGTATTAGTGAATTTTGCAATGTTTTAATACCCGACCCGGGGTAAAACCCGACCAAGGGATCGAGTCCCGGGTCGGGCGGTTGAACCGGGCTAACCGGTGGGTCAGACCAGTGCTGACGTCAACATGACTTTGAAAATTATAAATCCTAAAATAAAACAATCATTTTTCTCTTAAACTATGGATGCTTCTTCCTCCTTTTCATAATCCAACTCCCTCACAATAAAACAAACAATAGCCTATTGCATTCTAATCGCAAAAACCAGTAGCCTCCTCCTAAAAACTCAGCAACCTTCCCCATTCAAATCCAAATCGGCCCAAATCGCAAAAACCCAACAACCTACTCCATTCAAATCGAAAGAAACCCATTTAAATAAAAGAAACCCAGCAATCTCCTCCATTTAAATTGCAAAATCCTCCTAAAAACCCAGCAACCTTCTCCATTCAATTCCCAAAATCGACCCAAATCCCAAAATCAATCTAAATCCCAAAACCCAGCAGCCTCCATTTACTCCATTCAAATAAAAGAAACCCAGCAATCTCCTCCATTTAAATTGTAAAATCCTCCTAAAAACCCAGCAACCTTCTCCATTCAATTCCCAAAATCGACCCAAATCCCAAAATCAATCTAAATCCCAAAACCCAGCAGCCTCCATTTACTCCATTCAAATAAAAGAAACCCAGCAATCTCCTCCATTTAAATTGTAAAATCAATCTAAATAGCAAAGACCAGCAGCCTCCTCCCAAAAACCCAGCAACCTTCTCCATTCAAATCCCAAAATTGATCCAAATCGCAAAACCCAACAACCTACTCCATTCAAATTGAAAAAAACCCAACAATCTCCTCCATTCAAATCGCAAAATCGATCCAAATAGCAAAAAGCCAAAAACTAGCAACCTCCTCTCAAAGAACTGGGCAACCTCCTCCATTCAAATCACTTAACCAAATTGAAAAATCCCAACAGCTTACTCCATTCAAATAAAAAAGAACCCAACAACCTCCTTCATTCAAATCAAAAAATCGACCAAAATCGCAAAAATTAATAGCCTCCTCACAAAAACCCAGCAGCCTGAAGTAAAAATATGAAGAAGTAACGAGATGAAATGAAGATAATGAAGATGAAATGAAGAGATCAACAATGGAAGAGAGAAAATATGAGTTAGGGCTTGACAAGGAATAAAAAACTGGGGAAAAGCAGAAAAGAAACCCACTTTTTGGAATTGAAAACCGGGTATAAAAGTTCACTCGGTTTTCTCCCAAAAGCGGTTAGACCGATGGATCGCTATAGTAAACCGGTCCAACCACGGGTCAAACTGGGTAGATTAATATTTCCGATTTTTAAGTTTGCCCAGCCCGGCTCAGTGGCCGGGTCCCGGTCGAACCGGCCGGACTGGGCTGGATTTTAAAACATTGGAATTTTGTGAACTGTTAGGGGTGTATTTATAATTTTTTAGGGTATATTTGTCATTTTTTAAGTTAATAGGAATAATATAATTTTACAAGGTACTCGAGAACAATTGGAACCAGCATTTCAGGTTCCAGTTCCAAGAATCGAAATTGATTAATTCTGACTCTGGTTCATTATGCTAAGAATCAACCAATTCCGATTTCAGTTTCAATTCTGCTTTTTCGTAATTCTAAGAGGTACCTAAAACCGTTCACTTCTAATAATAACACTACTTTGTGTTAAAATTAAAAAATCCTTAATGACGTTAATTTAAATGTGAGAATCCAAAATAAATAAAGCGGAAGGTAGAAACTTACTATTTCAATAATATTTGGGTGAGAACATGTCGTTTACTCTATTATTATATAACCTTTAGTATGATTATCAGATTATAATGCATCACTTCCATAACTTTAATTTAAGTAGAATAATGCTAGCCTTACTTCCTCTTCATACTCATTTCTCTTACTTACTCATATTAATCTCCCTTCTTACTCCATTCTCTTTCTTCTTATACCCACCTACCACAGAGTGAGTAAGAGAAAGGAGTAAGAAATGGGAGTAAAGCTAATATTACTCGTTCAAGTATGGGATCAATAATAATAATAGTGATGAGATGCATCCAAATAGTCCCAATAACATTACTATTCACAATCATAAACCCATAAAGTTCTCCAGGCCCAATAACATTGGGTGCGTTTGGTTCAGTATTTATATCTACATTCCTAATCCTATTTCCCAAATATTGTTTGGCACATATTCCAGAGATATTACTATATTTTTTTAATTACTTTTAGACCCCTTAAGCTTATTAATTTCATTAAATACCCCCAGAAAAAAAAGTTTAAAAATTAACAAAAACACCCCCATCAACCCATACTTGCCAAATTCCGACAACCACCGTCGGTGGTAGCCAGAATCTGTACAACGACCTACCTACCGACCAAAAATGACCAAAAGTTTACCGATCTGGCCTTTTCCAGCCAGATCCACCACAGATCTGGTCGTCAGCGACGACCAAAGGAGGTCTTCTTTTGACGTTTTTTGACCGTCGATGGCAATATTTAACCGTAGATCTGGTCTTTTCCGACCAGATCCGTGATGGATTTGACTGAAAAAGACTATAGCAACGCGTTACGACACAAATCCGACCAGTCTGTGTCGTAACGAAATTTTCTGACCAGATTCCAGCGGTGGTGGCTGGAATCTAGCATTACAGGTGATGGATGTATTTTTATCATTTTATATATTAGGGTGTTTAATTAAATTAACAAACCTATGAGCTTTTCCATTAATTTTTAAATTTTACCTCGTAATACTCTACTATCCAACTACTCAATATTATTCCTAAAATTCTATCCAAAATAATAAACCAAACACACCTATTATTATTCACAATCATAATGGTCTCCTAGGCCCAGCATCATCCTCATCATTACCTAAACACATAGAAACAAAAACTCTACTTATTCTTATCCACTTTACTTTATTTATTATAATATTTTCATTTTCATCTGATCTTCCATTATGCCTTTTCACTTCCCACATTATTTTACAACAAAACAAAACCTCAAATTTTATCTATATACATAGTCTACACCAATTTCACACGTTTCATGCCTCTCACACAATACTCTTACACGCTGATGTCTGTGGGTCCCACATAGCCGGCAGCAAGTACTTTCTCCCGTTAACCCCGTGAGCGTTATAACTCGCTCCGGTTACCTTATCCACCAACACCCGCCCCGGGTATCCCGGGTAAGAACCCGACCCAAATATCCCCGTGCAAGCTGAGACGGCTTCCAGTGGCGCGCTGGCTGGGCCTTGGAAATATCCATTGTTAAACGGGTTGGTGACGGTGTTAGCCAAAAGGGTGGCCAAGTTTATAATCATGCCGTCAACTCCCACGTCGCCGTTAGGAGCCACTAACGGTGGGGTTTGCGGGCCGTAAATGGGCTGGTGGAAGGGCCACGCACATTGGCCCGGGCACTGAGTCTCGGAGTTGCCTACCCACACATAAGTTCCTCGGTCTGATCCACGGCCCGCCGACTTATTAGTCCCGTGGCTGCCGCACCTCATACAGAACCCATCAACGGCAACGTCCTTGGCCGTTAAAACGACATTAATGGTGGAAGTAAGCGTGTTACTTACTTTCTTAGCTAAAGCCATTAAATGGGAAGTCTTGAGGGACTTGCCGAGGGAGTAGTTTTCGAGGAGGATTTGATGCTGCACAACGAGGTTAGATGAACCTCCTTTGTACTTTTCAGTGGTTTTCCACCAGGATGAGGCGGAGGGCTGTGGAGCCCGGTTGGAGTTCAAGGAATGGATAAAATCGACGATTATGGAGCGTTGTATGGGAGTAAACTTACCGTACCAGATGAGATTAACGGTGACGTTACCTTTGAGAAGAAGGCCGTTGTGGTATTTTAAAACAAGAGGTTGTTCTTGAACTAAAGCAGAAAGCGTGGGGGAGATAGAACAGAAGAAGAAGAGGAAAAGAGAGAGAATGGCAGAATGGTAAATAGATGCCATGAGATAGTGCAAAGAGAAGAGATAGTTTTTTTATAAGTTAAGAGAGTGAAGTGCGAAGTTGAGAAGAGTGGTATTTATAGTAATGGTTTGAAAGGGAAACAGCTGTGAAGGAAGGAAGGCGTCAACATTGAAGAGTGCCACGTGGGAATATATAATTAGTTGAGAAATGTGAAGGAGGTTTGCCAGGCTGTAAGGTTCTAAAGGGTGACGTGGTAGTTACTAGGAATGGCATTTGATGTTGATGGAGACAGTCTCACTGAATATGAAATTGGTGAAGCAGATGGGTGGTTTGAATGGTGCAATGGATGAGCACGTCTCAATATAAATTAAATTTGATTTTAGTTTTACAATCCCAACAGCAAAATCTTGATGCGTAGTACAGTAACAATCCTCTTTTACCTAAAGGAAGGTGGGTCCCCGTCATTCTAATGAAGTTAATCTGATACCGTGAGATGGAAGATTTATCTGCAGATGGATGGACACAGACCAGTGGGAGGGTAGTGAATAATTTAGATGGGTTGCCACACTAGAGATGACGTGAGCTAAAATGAAAGAGTGGCGCAGACTTCGATTAAAGTGTTACTACTTTAGTTTTAGATATTATTTTATCATTTTACTCAAGCATGATAATAGCCACTGGATTTCAATAGTCATTCCTAGATGCTTATGTAGGTCCCATTTCATTCAGTGATTCGTACCCTTCTTTTTTATTCAAGGGAGTACTTCTATGAGGACGATCTCATTGTAATTACTCTGTACTCCAAGTTATAATCTGATCTTCTGATAATATGGCTAATTTTTTCATGTGGATCAATATGTTGTTTTAATTCAGATTAATTTGAGACAAAAAAATCTCTGNTATCAAACTCATTAAAGTATTAAATATATGCTTTCAGTTATGAGCCAAGTGATATATTTTAGATAAAATATTATGGTCTCCTTCAACAGAGATAATAGATAAATAAATTAATCCAGTATCTTGTACATATTATTTTGTTTCTTTACTTTGTTACTTTAGTTTATTATACATTATCAACACGAAACTCTAACCAAGGGAAACATTTTATATTTCATTTCTCTAATTCTCATGGTTTTAATTATATATATATTTATTTATTTTCACCAGCAGCTGTTAAAATAAAAAAAAATGAAATAGGAGACGAAAATGTACCCAACAAGCCAAAATCTATGGCATGAAATGAAAGCCAATATCCCAGCATATGTATATACAACATTACCAAAATTCACTAACACTCGGATTAAGAAAGAATGAACAAAATCCAGAAATAACATGATAGACAATAACAACAGTTAAAAACTCTAAATCTTCTCTCTTATTTCAAGCATTATTGAAAAAAATTGTCATATTCATTCACCATATTTCAGAACATATCAACATGGAATCACACACAAGTTCACAAGTATTAAACAGAATCTAATCCACTCATAACCTTACACTAAATGAACAACTAGAAAAAAATATGAAGAAAATCAAGATATACCCAAATAAGAAAACTTGAAGATAACACAACCCATTTGTATATTAATCCTTAACAATCCAAGAACTTTAAAATCCCAAATATTTCAAAAAATAAAAAGGAAAAAGACAAAACCCATATGGCTAAAGCTATAATACATTGTGAAGGGAGAAATGCATAAAAAATTAAAAAGTAAAGTTGTTAATTCCTTGCTGCACTCGAATTGTTTACCAGTGTCAGAGAGAGGAGATGAGCCGACAGGGATGAGTTGACTGATGAAGTGATGAGACTTGAGAGATTGAGAGGCGGAGACTTGAGTTGCTGAGAGTTGAGAGATTAATTGTTTACCAGCGTCGGACAGAGGAGATGAGCCGACAAGGAAGTTGACTGATGAAGTGATGAGAGATTGAGAGGCAGAGACTTGAGTTGCTGAGAGTTGAGAGATGAGATGTGGCCGCGATAGAGTAATTGAGATTTGAGACTGAGAGTGAGAGATGAGAGGCGCGCGTGATAAAAATTAAAATTAGGGATTCATTTCAGATTTGGAAAAACGGGTATCCGCGGGTTCACCCATATAACGATTATACGGGTCGGACTGGGTATGAGTCTAAAAAATTGGATATAATATTTTGGACTCGGATACGAGCCGACCTGTGGGTCCAAACCCGTTTTGCCAGGTCTACTCGTACCCTTCTTTTTTATCCAAGGGAGTACTTCTATGAGGACGATCTCATTGTAATTACTCTGTACTCCAAATTATAATCTGATCTTCTGATAATATGGCTAATTTTTTCATGTGGATCAATATGTTGTTTTAATTCAGGTTAATTTGAGACAAAAAAACCTCTGTTGAGCATTATTTGATATAAATAAATTAATTATTCAAAAACTATATTGTTAAAAATTTAAGTTATAATATTCGAATTATAGGTGTGTTCTTTTATAAATTTTGTAAATCTATTTTTCGTTTTCTGAAATGTTAAAAAAATTGAAAAACACAAAGATAAAAATATACTAACATATTTGTCTGAATAATATAACACAATTGACAAAACCTTTCAAATTTATAATTATTTTATAATTGAAGTTTATTTAATTTGTCGTAAATAAAGTGATTTTCAAAAACATTGCTTTAAAAGTGATTTTCTTTTAAGTTCCTCATTCAACCATGATGATGATGATGATGATGATAGGATTTATAAAAGTATGGTGAATAAAGGAAGTAATAGTTGTTTAATTAAAGTGAATAAATAAATAAATAATTGACAGCAGAAGGAAACAAAGGTTAAGGATGGGTGAGTGTCTGGAAACAAGAGACGACATGTTTGGTTTTCAAGATTTCCCGAAAACACTTTATTCCACTCAAATAATGCAATTCCCAAACCAAACATGCTCTTCCAAATGGGGACGGTGCCGACTCTGTCACCTGCCGCACGTGACCTTTTTGCATGCCTTCACCATCGTTTCCCTTTATGATCTCTATACAAGTGTCGGAGCTTCTTGATGTTCCTTCAAATTAATTCCACTTGGCTGTAATGTTTACATATCTTTTCAATCATCGAAATCATAAAATTAAATAAAATTGAAACCATTGATACGACAAAATTTAATTTTTTTATTAGATTTTGTTATGCTTGAAAAGGCAACACTGACATGGAGCCTTGTCAGCATGGAATTTTCAGAACTTGGGAAGGATCTGTGATCGTCTAGACGTAGCCACGTCGCATAATGGTGCAAGTGGCATGCTCCCGTCAGTGCAATAGGTGAGTGCCAGGCTAGCAGGTGGTTGGAAATCGTCCACGTGTCCAAACCCTGAATAAGTCAAGGAAATCCCTCGGGCAAGTGAACAGTGGGACGCAGAGAAGGATTTGCACGGTATCTATCTACTTGCAGATTTAATAATCATTACCTTGGTTTTTCCCACTATAAATAGAGGTCTTGCCTCTCATTTGCGGGATTGGCTAATTTTACTCTAAAATAGCTTACTTTCTCTCTCTCTCTCTCTCTCTCTCTCTCTCTCTCTCTCTCTCTCTCTCTCTCTCTCTCTTGTATTCTCTTTAAACGGTAGCTCAGCTCGATGAATGCGACCTAACCTTTATCCTCTTGTTAATACAATAGCAGTGGACTTATGTTTGCTTTTGAGTATCCGAACCACTTTAAACATTGCCTCACATCCCTTATTTAACTTAATATTCCCTTATCACGCGTGTCTTCTAAGTACGCTTAGCATTTCATATGTGCGAGTAGTTGGTGTCTAAAATCGAGCATCAATAGTTTGGCGCTAGAAGGAGGGCCTGATTTAGTATCTGCTCTTCATCAGAAAAACTTTGACTAATCGGTCCCACAGCAGTAAATGACTCGTGGTTTCGAATATGAGCTAACCAATTATGGCAATGAAGAATTTCCCCAGGTACAGGAAGACACTTCTTCTGAAATGGCGCCAGTCCAGCAGAATATCATGAGGGATATTCCTTCAAGCTCGCGACTCGACTTGGCCGTCATGAGTTACTTGGAGAGGTTCAATAATACTCTTCAAACGGTCAGCCAAAGGCTAGACCAATTAGATTGGGTCATGCCGCCTGAATCCAATGAGGTAGTGTCACTGCCAAAAATGCCTGTAGGTCACGTAAAAGAGCGAAAAAGGGCAAAAGCTCATACCGCGTGCACTACAGCACGCTAGAGAAAGGGAAAGCAAGTGGCGCACAACGGACCCAAGGGCTCTGAGGGACTAGCGAACATCGATCGTGCCTCGGGTAGAATACCTGTGGCATTGCGACTCAACGACATGTCGCAGCGTGAGCCGTCCCGCGCCACATCGCACGGGCACTTCCTCAAAAGTGCAAGGTGGGAAGATTCCCAATATCGCCAAAATGACGACTTCGATCTCGATCGTCATCATGTAGGGGATTCCCATTGTCTACGGGCCAGTTTGTACCACCGCGGAGGTCGAGAAGACTCCCCGATTCACTCAATCCTATCACACGACTCCAGCCAACGTGTGTCGAGATTGGTCGGAGCTTCCTACCGATGTGAGGAAGAGTCCGATTTGTGGTCTTTCCTTAACCACAACCATGAGGGTCAAACCCATGTTGCGAAAAGTAATCCCTAGGTAGCTCCTTTGCCTCAGATTGAGGAACTACAGCGAGCTCTGGATCAGCTTAAAGCTCACCAGAATGAATATGGGAAGGTCGCAGAAGTGTCCCCCTTTTCCTCGGTAGTGTTAGCTGCCCCCTTCCTATGGAGATTCCGAGTGCCCAACATGCAAGCATTCGATGGGAACTCTGATCCGCAAGATCATCTATGCGAGTTCAACGACCTCATGGAATTCCACCAAGTCTTTGACTTGGCAAAATGCCATTGCTTGGCAGTAACCTTAATTGCCCATGCCAAGCGATGGTTTAGGTTGCTCCCAGTAGGATCAGTGAGCTCATGGCCTCAAATGAGCTCGAAATTTCTGAGGCACTTCCAGGCAAACAAGAAGTTCTCAATGCCACTAAGCTACTTGAGTAATATACGGCACGAGAGGGATGAATCCCTCCAATTTTATATAGACAGGTTCCATAGGGAGCTCCACAAAG